ACTATCACATTTTACAAAAATTCAAATTAGTCACCACAGCTAGTTTATATTTTAAAAAACTCTTGTATTTCCTTCTTAACAAAGTTTCCAATAACAATATATGGGTTATACTAGAGAGAGAGAATTATATACAGAAAGTTATATATCACCAATCACTTGTGTTCATCTTGCTGTGGGTATATCTTGGTCAGTTGTGGTCAAAAGTTATTTTTTCTTTTTTCTATGATGGGTTGTGAACAGAAAAAAAAAAAAAATCTGCAAACACACACTTTGTTTAGGAACAACAAAACATTACATTTATTAATTGTTGAATTTTAATGAGGTTTCACTGTATCTCTCTCTCTCTGCTTCCAAGATAGATAGAATGATAAGGCACAATTTGGATTATAGATTTTTTTTTGCTTATCCCTAGTACATGTGGTACAGGCCATGATAATCAAGGAGGGTAGTTAGCGACTGCTTTTACTGTAAGTACACCACATGTCTACACATGTGAAAAGCAGTTTGACTTTGCACTTACAAATGTGCCAGAGCCCCGTTTGGTTACTTGCACTCGCTGGTGGGGTTGGACTTTTACAAGAATCAGGGGCCATTGGAGCATTTTTTTTTTTTTCAATCAGAAAAAAGTGTCCAATGCGGGAATTGAACCCGCGTTCTAGTGGTCGAAAACCAAACGGTTTAACCAGCCTTCCACCGACCCCCGTTATAGATTCTAATAAAAGAAAATAAGACCTTTAAACACGTTTAAACACTTGATAACAGTATACTATTTAAGAACTTGCTGTGATATTTTTTTCTCATTTATTCTTTTGTCTGATGATGGTGACAATGTTGTTGCCGAAATGTCACACACTAATAAATTATTTGGATTAGGTCTTATTTTCTTTAAGATTGCTAGAAATTCTGTATAAAGGATAACACTTAGTAATAAATGTTCTCTTCCTGGAAAAAAAACAGAAAATAAAAAATGGGAATTCTAATGATTAAAACTGTCCATTGTGAAGGAGGTGGTACTTGCTCATAGTAGTTCTACTCCATATACTTCCCCAGGGAGAAAAGCTATAGAAACTATAATTAAAAAGGTATATATTGGATCAAAAAATCATTTATTTTACCAATATTTCATTTGGCTGAATACCAACCTTTATCAAGGTGTTATAATATATTAATGTTTGTCAACAACAAACTCAGCGCCACATAACGTCAATAGAATTAAGTTTTTATATTTTGTTATATTCAATGGGGAGAAAAAAATGGACAAAATAAATATATAGAAACTACATTCTTTTTTTTTTATCATTAGTACACATGGTACAAGCCATGATAATCATGGTGGGTAGAAGTTGGTAACTGATTTTACTGTAAGTGCACCCCATGTCTATACATGTGAAAAGCAGTTAGATTTTTGCAATTACAAATGTGCCAGAGCCCCATTTGATTATTTGCACACGCTGATGAGGTTAGACTTTAGCAAGAATCAGGGACCATTGAATAATTTTTTTTTTTTTAATTAGAAAAAAAAGTGACCAATGTGGGATTTGATCCCGGGTCATAGCGGTCGAAAACCAATAGTTTAGATCATCCTTCCAAGGATACACAGAAACTATATTCATATACAATAGAACTACCTCCTTGTAAAGGACAACACCTAGTTGCAGAGCCAAAGTGTCCTTTAGAGAGAGATGTCCTCTTACCGGAGAGTTGTTAAATAGTAAAAATGGCAATTTTGACAATGAAAACTGTTCTTTGTACAGTAGTGTATTAGTGTGAGAGTCCTCTCATGGAGTTTCTACTGTAATAAAGGTCACACACAGAAACTATATTCATATACAGTAGAACTTCCCTGTAAAGGACACCTAGTTGCATAGCCAAAGTGTCCTTTAGGGAGAGGTGTCCTCTTACCGGAGAGTTGTTAAATAGTAAACATGGTAATTTTGACAATGAAAACTGTCCTTTGTAGAAAGGTGTCCTCTAGCGTGAGTGTCCTCTCACGGAGTTTCTACTGTAATAATGGTTACACACAGAAACTATATTCATATACAGTAGAACCTCCCTGTAAAGGACAACTAGTTGCATAGCCAAAGTGTCCTTTTACCAGAGAGTTGCTAAATAGTAAACATGGTAATTTTGACAATGAAAACTGTTTTTTGTAGAGAGGTGTCCTCTAGCGTGAGTGTCCTCTCATGGAGATTGTAATTATGGTTAAAAGAAAAAAAAAAAAAAAAAGAATCAGTTACATCAACCACTGTTCTTTTATATTCCTCCTTCTTCTTCTTTCTTATCTCCACTCAATCACACTAAGGTATCAAGCTTGAGACTTTTGATGGTGTCTGCCGGGGAAGAGTAGAGCTCATCAATGGATGAGTCAATAGTCAATAATATGTTTTGGGGTTGCAGGCTGAGAATTGCACTTAGTACATATATATATTCCTCCTGATATTTCAGTGAATCTTTGTCACTCTGAGAAGAATCTACCAATGATATCAATCAATCCCTTGAGGAGAGTGACAGTCACTGAAACATCAGGGACAAAATAAATAGAGATTGTAGTTGATATATAGCTGTATCCAAACACATTTCCAACCAGCAAATGATGTTTAAAAAAAAAATCTATTAACAATGAAAAGGCACAATTTAGATTATAAACATAAGGTGATAAGACCAAATCTAGTACTATTATATATAGTATTTTTATTATTTTATTAAGTACTAGCGGACATACCCGGCTTCGCCAGAGGTTTTACCCGAGTAAAGGTTTGTCTAACGAACATTTGTTAAAACAATTCTCTATAAACTTATAAAAAAAAAGACATATTTTGATAATTTGAAACTCGTAAATTTGAATCTCTCGATAAAGTGAACATTTTTCCCCGGTCCCTGTGTGCCGTGTCATCCTGAATTTTGTCTTTCATAATTTTCTACATTACAAAATCATCGTTTTATCTACATATTTTCCCGGTCCCTTGAAAAATACTCGATAAGTTGAATAAAATCATGGTCGTTTATGGAAGATGGACGTAGTTCCCGGAGGTCACCCGCCCCCCGCTTGCGAGTTAAAGCTACAAATCTGCAAATAACTCTAAGGATATTTAAGATATTCAAGAAATTATTTTTCGTAAACCTTTCCGGGGATATGCCTAATAATATCCCAAAATTTCACGGCGATTGGATGTATGGTTTTTGAATCCATAGAGGACACACACACAGACATTCAATTTATATATATAGATTTATTTGGTCTTATCACCTTGTGTCTATTAATAATGAAACATTTTACTCACTGAATTTATTATTCTAACAAACAAAGCAATAAATTAAACACAAGGTAATAAGACCAAATCCAAATAAATAAATAGTGTATGACGTTTTGGTAACAGCGTTGTTACCATCTTCAGACCTTGATATGGCACAATTTGGATTATAGATTATAAAACAAGGTAATAAGACCAAATCCAAATAAATAAATAGTGTGTGACATTTCGGTAACAGCGTTGTTACCGATTTACAGTCTGAAGATGGTAACAACGCTGTTAACGAAACGTCACACACAATTTATTTGGATTTGGTCTTATTACCTTGTTTCTATATTAATAAAATGCAAATTTCATAAGTGTTGTTCACTAAAAACTTTCGTTACAATGCATCAATTTCGACCAAATTTTCAACATTTATGTAAAACGAGATGGAGCAGGTTTTGCTTAACATCAAAATATTTTTCCTAACTTTAACATGCGTAACTTCGCTGTTATCGATTAAATACAAAAAAATCAACAGAGTTAATTTTATTTATATATAAATACAAAAAAAAATTCAGCAATTCATTCAACTCAATCTAAAAAAATATTCAAAACAAGCAATTTTAAGATAACACCATATGTAAAACAGTCGGCCAAGAAAACAACAACGATATTACATCTTTCTCACATATTCACACACAATCTTGATTAATAATTAAAACTAATCTTTAACATTGTTTATTATACTTCATAATATATAATATTCGTTAGGCAAACTTTCACTCGGATAAAACCCGGGCGAAGCCGGGTACACATCCGCTAGTTTGATATATAATCCAAATTGTGCCATATCAAAGCAATAAATTATCGTATTGGTATATTTAGCACTTTAAATTTATAAATTGCCATCTATCGTTGAAATTTGTAACATATAAATTTACTGGCAATGTGTTTCTTTTAAATAATATCATCAAATTTTATCTCTACAGACCTTACTGCAATGATATGAGTTATTGAATGAGAGGGCTTGGCTCATCAGTAGTGAGCCCTTTCAGCGGTTTCGCCAAATTAATCTCTAAACCGCTCTACTATTGTATTGGATTGGTTTGGGATATACCCTGTATTTTCTATGGAAGGCAGTTTAAGTACTTTTCCATATAAATATATGTACCTTTTTTTTTTAATATAATAAAATATAACAACCTCCATGAGAGGTCACTCCAGCTAAAGGGCATCTTTCTACACATAATAGTTTTCATCACCAAAATAACCATTTTTTAATAATTAGCAACTCTCCAGTAAGAGGACACACCTCAGTCCAACCCCACCAGCGAGTGCAAGTAACCAAACGGGGCTCTGGCACATTTGTAAGTGCAAAGTCAAACTGCTTTTCACATGTGTAGACATGTGGTGTACTTACAGTAAAAGCAGTCGCTAACTACCCACCAAAGATAAGAAAGAAGAAGAAGAGGACACACCTCTCCCTAAAGGACACTTTGGCTCTGTAACTAGGTGTTGTCTTTTACAGAGAGGTAGTTCTACTGAATTAAAAAAAAAAAAACAATTATGTTGAATATCTCTGCAGAACATTAATGACTATGTGCTGTCAAATGTAACAATAGGTTAGGATAGGTATGGTTAGTTTCAGATTGATAGGTTAAATTAGGATAGGTTATTTTGATAAAGCACAATTTGGATTATAGATTATAATACAAGAAAATAATCCAAATAATTTATTAGTGTGTGATGTTTAGATAACAACATTGTCACCATCATCAGACAAAAGAATAAAATGAAATCTATAATCCAAATTGTGCTTTATCATTTTTGATAGACTTCAATGGACCTAAGAAGTTATTCTTTCATTTTATTCTTTTGTCTGATGATGGTGACAATGTTGTTGCCGAAACGTCACACACTAATAAATTATTTGGATTAGGTTTTATTTTCTTGTAGGATAGGTTGTGTTTTAAGAAAGAACTATCTTAAAACAAATAGGCCTAATGCTGAATAACACAATCAGCGACCTGTTTTCACAAGTCTGCAGAATTGAGTATCTTACCAAAATAAATTTTTAATAGGTAACAAAAAAGTTACTATATGGTGCAAAAAGCATTCTCTTTATGATATTGGGAACATATTTTAAAAGGCTTGAAATCTAGGTAATTTGGAAATGATGATATTTAATTCTATTCATTGTTGATAGAGGTGAATCCCCAGAATTGGGTACATTTGGTAGGTGGCGCTGTACGTTGCCACCGCCGTACCTTAGAGGCGTTTTACACGAGTTAAAGATACAATTTCGGTGAAATACTTTGAATTTTACCAATTTAAATATACAAATTTAAATTATAATTTTAAAAATGTTTTAACAGTTAAAAAACATTTTTTTAAATAATATATAAACTGATTTTTCTAAAAACGAACATTATTTTTTTAATTATCTGAAACTAACCTAATTC